ACGTGTTAAAACTTTGGACCGGGTATTCCGTGCAAGACTGATGGATCACCGCCTCGAACAATTACTTATCGTCTTTTGTAGGATTTCTGACCTGAAGCGGCTTCAGATAGGAAGGACAGCAAGCTTGGTATTACTCATCGTAGCCTTCCTTCTGTTCTTGCCCAGTTTTCACCATGTGCTATATGAAGGAAGGGATACAGTGGTTTGACACAGTCAACCTACCTCAGTCAGCTGAAACGGAACCATCGGACAACCGAAGATTGATGATGTCATAGTCCATATTGTTGTTTTAGCCTCTACCTGCGATGCACCTGACGCAGCATTCATCAAATGTGGTGCACATCTCAGGTCTGAGATTGATCTATTACGAAGCAAGACAACTCTCCCAGCCATTATTTTACACACGTTCCACTCTTTTGAGGCAGGTTGGGCGTTACTTTTTATCATACTGATCGACACCAACCTAAAGCAGAGTTGCACTGCTGCAGATATGTGAAGGATCAAATACGTTATTCATTCGAGGACCAAGTGACATCGTAGGAGCCCAAGCTTCTAAAAGGACCTGGTGTATCTTAAACAGAAAATTGTCCATCCCCTGTAGAATATTTTCCTCCCGGTTTCTACTTGTTGCGGTTTGGAGACGTTGAACTTGAACAAAGATGAGCAACTTTCCCATTAGTATGTTTGGTATAATTCAGAGTCAGTGATCTGAGCGGAGAAAAGCATTTGATCAGCAGATTGTGATTCATAGCCGTACGGTCACGTTCAACAGGTTTTGTTGAACAAGAGGCCGTTTATTATAGAGAGGAGGTACTACTTATGCAGTCTTGCTTATCTCAGCGGCAAACCTTGCTTTGTTTATATATTTTGAGGAAGGATTGTGTAGTTGAACCCCTTTGTTTGCTACGGTTTTCTAGTTCTTCATAACTCCAATAATGTACTCCAATAATGTACTAATATACTGCTCGCACTTCCATCGTCATATCACACCCCTCACCACCACTATTCAGTTTACAGTATCCCACGCCACATCTGTAGTACCTTCGTGGCGCTACTCGGTACATTTGTGCAGGGTACTTTAACCCGTTTGTGAAAGTACAATATGTGTTTTTCAATGCTATATGAAGTAGAACATTGATGAGCGTGGACAGTGACTAGTACATACGCAGGCTTCAACCAAACGAGTACAGTAGTCTGGTGGGCGTATTCCCAAAACAGTCGAAAAACCTTCATTCTTTCTCTTTCCTCTTCACTCATTACGCGATAGTCGGTTAGTATATTTGAAAGTACGTACTACGAGGAATGCTTTTCTGTGATTCTCGGCGTTCAGGAACATCGGAGATCCAGCAGTTACTGTCTGCGTCGAATTTTTGTTGTTTGGACATGACAAAATCGAATCTGCAGACTGATGTTGACAGACTCAAAAATGCACTACGTTTTCTTGGGATCCCTCAGCTTCTCATCTGAAGAATTGACGCCATCGCGGATGAAATTTCATTTCGGCAATAGGTTTACTGTCTGCGTCGATAGCGCCCTTGGTGAACTGAACCGTATCCCAGGTGTTCAAATCAGTGGGAGGGAGGGATAATCGCATCGACAAAGACACGAGCTTGAAGGGTTCACGAATGGTACACCAGAGTCACTGAAGGGACTGAGTCACCTCTTAACTGATAAATCTTCCTCAGCCGCCTTTCGTATTGTCGCTTTGCCTTACGGTACCTTCAGGATCGACAAACAAGCACACCCAGCGGCTCCAAAAATTACAGTGTGGTGTACACTTTAGCCAGTAGACTAGGTAACCTGTGTCACATGAACGCGCATTTCAGTGCGCAGTGCGGTTACAGCTTACCAAACCCGAAAGCAAATTTCTCATTTGCCCAGATTCTTTGAAAGAGTCTGTATCCACAGTTTTCTTGTTGAGGTTCCGTAGCCGTTTTTTGAATACTGTCACTAATTTTCGAATCTACCTTCCGTGAGATTCAGGGGTGGCGATTTAAGCTGCCGACCACACACTACTCATTCACTTCATTAGTAATGTACGCTGGTGCACATACAGCTTGTCTTCCAAAAAAAACGTATTATCAGGTAGTTCGACGCACGGAGACACCTTGTAATCCAAAGGAAGGACGTGAGCTGAGATTATTCTCGGTGGCTCAAGTCTAGACAAGCGATTTCAAAAATCTGTGATTAGATTCAAACTACCGTCTGAATCGCAGAGCTTTTTACCCCCCTCCTTATGCTCAGCGGAATTGACCGAGAAGTGTGCAGTGTATGACCTGGCAACAAAGTATGTAAACACTAACCAGCAAACTGAGTCGGGTCGACAACTGCCAACCCTTTGGATGGGGACGCCGGGACTCAACTCACCAACGGTTAATAACACTGGCCCAATCGCGCAGTCAGTGGCGCTCGTGCATCAACTATTTCGCCTTCAATGCATAGTTACCCTGTTCCTTAACTAGACGTGCCATCATCTCCAAGACTTGACTGTATGTCCTACTCTCTCCCACTTTCCGTTGATCGAAACTGTAGCAGCTGGTACTAGTATGACTATGGTACATGATGTATGGCTGATGAATTGATTTTTTATTGAGTTCGTGTCTTAGCCACTGGGTACATCATTCTTGGCACTGGGCTCAATGAAATACGGTTCATGAGCCATCAACCTCCATAAGTCATGCTGGATACATGAAAGGGTCGTCTTACGCGCAAAACCGTTTTGGTTCAGTGGTGTACTGCTTGGGATAGATTCAGAAGTACTAATTTGTTGGCGGTGTTTCGCGATACTACGGAATGAGCACCATCCTTGTTCTAAGTACTAAGAAACATGATTTATTTATACTGCCATTGGCATTTCTGCATCAGAAGTTGAATTTCCCAGGTGTGTGTGGTTCCCGTTGAGACTCCCTCTCCACTGAACTGATGCCGTCCCGGCGTATTCGCCTTTTAGCGGGGTAATTCATGGCAGCTAGAGCAAGTAAATGTTCATACAGTTCATACAGTTTCTGATAGCCTCAGTTCGACTGAGGTTGTATTCGAGTGGCCCGACTATGTGTTCCCTATAGCCATACTTTCCCAATTTATTCGTGCCAACGCCCAACAGTTCTTCTCATGATAACTAGTTCATGACTCATGACTGGGATCACGTGCCACCTTGTAATAAACTTTAGACAGTTAACTTACCATTCGTTGCTCCACTTGTTTTCCTCAATTGTTCAAAAAGAACTGCTGCTTGATGGCTCGATGTATCTGGTCTTTTATATATCCACCTTTTCGCCCGTTGAGCTTCTGTTCAATGGATGACTAGTCCTGCTCTTCTTCTTTTGTCATGTTGGTGACACAGGTCAAGTGTGAGTTGTACCTTCCCAACTCTGTTCCGGAAACAGTCATGTCTCTTACGCCGTTTGGTATGACTCCCTCATCCACAACCAGCAATCACACAAGCTGCAGTTTCACAAGCAGTCCGTTCTCCTCCGACTCGCCTTCCCTATCTGACACATCCTCTGTACCTCGTTCAACACGACTGCACAGTTCCAATCCTTTGGACAGTGGGATGACCAGTCTGGATGAGCATAGTCTGGCGGAACCAGACGGATCGAAGTCAACCAAATTAATTGAATGTGCGAACCCTGATGCTTGTCATCTTTTGGCTTTACCGGGATGTGCACAGTATTTTGGGGACATTTTCGTACGAGTCGACTCTTTGGAACGATTTGAAGGTTACTCCGTCCGTGCGTTAACGTTACGGGTGTGTTTTCCCTTCTGACTTTCATATCTGTTACTCTGTCTCTATGATGCCTATAATGTCTACTTTACATCCCAGTCTGTATCGCATCGGACCTTAGGTCGGTCGCCTTTCGTAAAATGTGTATTGGGAACTTTGATATGAGTTACTCCAGATATCCACTAAGCATTCCCACTTTGGTAAGAAAACATGAGCTTGCGAACAGTCACGTCTCTTCGGACAAGTACAGCGATGAGGCACGAATTTAAGTTTAAGTACTCTAGTGTATTCCTACTTGTGGTATAAAAACAACACTGACGGAAAAGTTTGGTTCGTGGGCCAAGACAGTGTCAGAGGTTTCACTCATATCTTTTGCTGGCAGACAGGCGAATTGCTTATACGAATAGCGATCATTTCGGTTGTTTTAAGCATTGGTTAGTAAATAGCCTTCGGTCAGTTTTCCGGTACTCGACAGGTTACGCTGAATAACTCGGCCGCAATAACCCGGTGTCGATCAGGTAACTGGCGACAGAGCTTGTATTTAGCTGCCCCGGCTTTTTGGCCAATCGAAAGCTGCTCCTTGATTCTGAGATTTTCTGAGCGTCGTGTCGTCCAACCCAAGTTGTTTGCAAATGAATGAATATGTAGCCTTAGAGGAACCTTGGGAGTGGCACCCTTCCTTGAAATTGTATTGAGCATTAGACCCCTATGGAACAGCATCCTCAGTTGTGCTGCATTGAACGTTCGCCGTAAACAGACCATCAGGTATCGGATTAGCTTTTCGGAAGTGATCTCACTTTTAAATGGTAGTTGAATCTACATGCGCTTTTTGAGACTGTTGGGCTTCTTTAACACTGAATGTTTTTTCCCCAATCATCCGTACGAACTACTCTGGATCATCATCGTCATTATCATCAAAGACAGCAACTTCCGTGTTGACACAGATGCTTCACTGCCGGACAACCACAAGGTTGGTCTAGTTGAGGGAGGGGACCTAGTGCTGGCCTATGTCAAGCGTTCTGAGGAGCCTACACCTCCAACCACTCAGTTGGACAGTCTGAAAAGAAACTGACAGCACGAACGCCACTGACATCGATTAGCCGTCATTTCTTGCAACGTCTCCGTCCAAGCACAGACGGGGTCACGGGGACCCATCCTGGAAAGCGTACGACACCAACAACCAAACTCTTCGTGATCTCTTTCACACCTTTCTGCCAAGTCATGTGGTGTCTACCTCGCGGTTTGCGCCATCCTGAACGAGACACGGAGAACAACACTCATCTCGGTAGGGGGTGTTTAGACATGCGTGGCACATGACCGAGCCATCCTAGTTGATGAGGATGGATGTTTTCTTGGATTTAAGTACCTGCCGCACAACCAAATATCCGTTTTCTAACCACCTCATCACTAAAACGTTGACGCCATCCAAAACCAGCCAAGCTTCTGAAGAATCGGTGGTCGAAAACCTGGAGACGCCTCACATCTGTCCGCAGAGGCCGTGTCTCGCACCTGGTACACACGACCCTTGAGATCTAGTGAGATGCCATTTTGACGCCACAAGTGACGCGAATTAGCAAACGTGATTCGAGCCTTTGAGATTCTCGCATTGACTTCATCAGACACTTCCGTCAGAGTTAATACTAATACCGTGGTAGTAAAGTTTTCCACAATCTCCAGTGATTCTATTGGATAAACATTCTCTGTGAAAGTTTTCTGGAAGGCATGCAGTTCAGCACCCAGTTTGGTCGTTTGCGCAGATTCTATAGGACAGGGCGGTTTCCTTCCTTATTTCATACCCAAAAAGTTGTGGAACCTGGTGCAGGTTTACTATACCCCTCTCTGAAGTGAACTCTCTTGGCTTATAGTCCCTGTAAAATCAATAAACTAGAGGTTCTTATTGGAGTCTTGTTCCTCAGCAAAGTCAGTCTAAGTCCAGTCAACAAGCTGGTGAGATTTTGTCTCGACGGTGCTTTTGGCAGTAACCGTTAAACGTGAAAACTGACTAGTAATTTTCCGTCTGTAAAATAGAGTATTTCCATGGTGACATCTCTTGGGGAGTAAATTGACCATTTGGGTAACCACAAGGTTTCCCGAGCGCGACTTCTAGTGAGAGGAGATGCAAGGTTTTTGTGAGAAGCAATACTGTACTGAACGCCCTCTCTAAACGGTCGAAGAACCGCGGATCTCTGGTTCGTATGAAGGCTTTTGAGGAATCAGTGATACTAAATTTATTCTTTCCGTTCCTTCGTGGAAACATGTAGATCAAATGAATGGTGTGTGCGCTCTCCATTTAACATAGATTATTGTCCGCGTTTTTATCAGAGGCCTTTAAGTCGAAGCAGACTCGTGAACTGCTTGGCTCAAAGGAACTGAGGTGTGCATTACTCCATAGCCACGGTCATCTGATCTCTTCTTATGGCGCCTGCATCCTAATTTTTTACTGGCTTTCTTCACTTATTGTTAAGATTCCCAAGCGGGATAACCTGTTTGAGAACTAGTACTTGACGCGTTGGTAATTCACAATTCAAACTCCAGTACGCATTCCCCTAAGAGATATGTACAACAGTGAACCCATTGTTGCGATCCTCTTGACTATATCAAAACGCTATTTTGTAGGCCTGTTTTATCCCGTTGTACTTTCTGTTAGCTAGCTGCGCCCCAATTATCGATATGTAGCGCAAATGTAGTTCTTTGTCAATCTGCTATCCATCCTAAAACAATGCACGCTGAGGCAGCCAGCTAATTTACCCAGTTTTACGCCAGTTGTCCACCTACGCCACCCACGGTCGGGCTTTTTTCGCCGTAGTTATGCAACCAACCGCCCAACACATTGCGAAACTAAGCTGTCGTTGAAACTAAATTGTTTCAGTGTCCTCACGTCAGTTAGCGGAAATTTCGTGGGACGATTCAGCCAGAATACGCCCACATGCAATACTGCATAAATAGACGGAGGGAAAGTTTAAACCACACACTAAATTGGTTGCTTAGAATTTCCCCGTCTCCTCTCCTTGTTTGACTTTTGGATTGAATTTGACATTTGAACGTAGCAGCAATAGGTACCATATAGTAGCTCAGGAAGAAACGGGGGTGCGTGTGACATCCTTTCCGATCAACCCAGTGTTTGGACACCTATAAGACTATTCCATATTGTTTGTTTCAGAGACGTACACTTCTGGATCATAAATTGACCACACAACACGTTGTGGCTGATCGTAGTGACTCGGTTCCGAAAGTCCCGACTCTAAGCACTGTTGGCATATAAATTTGATCAACTCCTCTAAATAGGGCTGATATACGTTGTAACGCGACACCCCTGGATGAATATTTGAGTTATGTTTGACGGAAAATTGGTAATTTATGATCTCATCTCATCCTTCTTCATCTTCTTAAGTTACCTGTCTTAAAAAAGACTCAAAAGAACTCATTTTGAGTTGATCTGTAATTGGAGGAATAACGAAATTGAAAATAAATAAGGTCTCATGGAGGACCAAAACGAGTATTCGGATGTACCTACACCTCTGGCTGGAAACTCACTTCAAGCACCCTCTTACTGACGGTCCGCATCTTAGTCTTGCATCGTCTTCGGGTACAGATAGGATTACTCGGCCCAACTTCGGAAAGCGAGTTGAATCGACATTACTGGGATCCTTAGTCCTCATCTCCTTTGTTCAGTCAAGTACGGGTGATCTTTGTATGCTTTTGGGCACAAAAACAGACGTCCTGTTTTTTATACTGGCTGACTTAGCGTGTACAGCACGTCTCCAAGTCATGCAGTGTCTATCACTGGCTGCTTTCCTCTATTGATTGTTATTGTTTCACCAAACACACGTTTCCTTATTACCGCATTTTGAATTGGCTATTACCAACCTGCATTGTTCAGAGCCAACATCAAGATAACTCCTGCTTCCTCTGCTTAAGGAAGCCATGTTACTATGTGTTTCAACCTAGCAAATATAACAATTCATTTCCCTTGTGACGCGAAAGGTGGCCTTCCTTCTAATGAATCTCAGCAGCGAAACCTCTGTTCTTCAAATGTCGCAGTTTCGTCATGTATTTTGCTGTGTAAAACAGTTTAAAAACGGTCAGAGATACATGTGTTCACTCGGAAAATCAGCGAGTAAGTACGTCACTTCTCATAAAACTCAATTTCGAGATGGCACCAAGGTTACACCACTTTCCCCACATTTGTGCTTGTACTTCTCGTTCAAGATGTACCCGAAACTGGTATTAGCCTCGACTCTAATCTTGTTTGCCATGTACTTTATGGGATAATGCGCTGCTAAAATGGTTGTTCCCGCTTATGAAAGAGCAGCGTTTTTCGGAGAAAGTCGTGATAAACGGATGACCTTGGTAGTTCTTAACACACCATACGTGCTAGCTGATCGCTTCTTGGTGTGACTATTCCAACGAAATTCCACAGAATCGCTATCATCTCTGTCGAATGACGGTATATTTATGCATATTTTAAAGCCGTGTCATGGATGTTTGGTAAGCTTGCGGTCTATCCGAGTGGAGTCTCCACTCTGATATCCTTAACCAAAAAGTTACACTTGCATTATATGATTTAAGATTGTTTTCGACCCATTTCTCTTTTTCGAATTCTTTTATTGAACCTATTCGTCCGTTTTATTCTAGCATAACATGGAAGAGCGAAAGGTCGAACACTTTTGGTATACCGCTTGGCCAGATCACTCGTCGCCAGACACTACTCCGGCTTCTGCGCGTCAGCTCTTGCAGTTGGTCAACGCTACGGAAGCATGCCGAAAACTTTCACCTCTGTTCCATCCTCTCCCTTCATCTTCCTCAACGGTGAAAGCAGAATCATCTACTATCCAGCGTGATCTTCTCGGGACTGTTATGCCCATCACTTCACTAGAAACCATCCGAGGATGTGATCCGCACAAACATCCTGCTGGTTCAACTACGCCAGCAACCACCACATCTACTGCTGATGGTCCAATTATCGTACACTGCAGTGCCGGTGTGGGTCGAACTGGGTGTTTCATTGCTCTGTGCATCGGTTGCGCCCAGCTTCAACGTGAAGGTGTCGTTGACATATTGCGTATTGTGAGTCGCCTCAGGCTAGACCGAGGTGGAATGGTACAAAGGAACGAGCAGTATGAGTTCATCCATCATGCTCTGCTCGAGTTTCCAGCCTATCAGGAATGTCAACGTCAAAGGGAAAATCAATAATGAACGATCGATGCTACACGAAGTCCACAAGGGCCGGTTGCTTTTGCCACTACTACTAGACTACCTCCTTGTCTTTCGTCTAACTTGATGTTCTGTTCCTCTACCTACAGGTTTCTGAACATGGAGATAAAGTTCCGGGTCACTCTGTAACACTGTTTGAGCAGCAACGGTGACAATCATAAAACCTACCCATTCGTCTTTCACTTCATTTTTGGTTCCTTTTTTCACCACATAGACGCCGATCAGAGCTACTTATCGACTATCCTCTTGCCTCAACCGTGGATTATTCCTCTCACTCTCCCTCTCAGATGAACAATCGTCTTTGTGTAGTTCTGTGCCCCGTGTATTGGATGGTTGTAACCGAAACAGACAAATAATTGCTGCGCTTTCATTCGAGGATCGCCTGTTACACCGCGGACACTGATTCGCACACCTGACGGGTGGAGCGGCTTGTTCGCTTTTGCGTTGGCTTTCCACGTGCACACGTGCGAATACAAAAAGCGCACACGAGCAAACAAAGAAAAAGACATTCGGTTGGACTCCATATCCGCCCGCGTGTACTCTCTGCTCTGCATAGGTGTCTGTATACCCTTCCTGTAGGTATGGGTTTGCATTCCGATCCAATATTTTGTCTCCATGGTAAAGAGCAGGTAAGACGAACTTGTCCTGTGCACTAAGCCGTCGACCAGCTATTGATCGACGCTTTGTGCGTCTTGACGATTGGAGGTTACCGACTTCCATTCACTCGACGCTGCGCGTATATGCTAGTGGAATGTCCATTCATTAGAATGTGGAAAAGTGTCCAATCACGTTCAAGTTTTCCTCTGATCGCCCACGCGTGTCTGGTAGCCACAACCCAGACCGGCAGCTACCCAACGGACGTGCATTTCCAGATCTACCGACGCACCCAACAGCCATGACGCCCACGGTGCTCAGTTGAAAGACTAGTAGACTATTGCCCGACCGATTCCCTGAAACATCACGTGTCGCGCACATCCTCGCTCGTACCTGAGGCGTTCCCTTCTGTGCATTGCTTGGTGTGCTTTAAAAGGGAATATCCGTGATTTTACCACATTTTTAAAAGGATTTGTTGGGCTTCCCCATTTTTGTTCGTCTGCCCATCTAGACGTTTGTATTTTGCGATTCCCTTTACGAGCGTCAAGAATTAATTGCAGACCACTTCGTGCTGTTCATTTTTCACATCACCCTCGTCTACAATGTTCTTGTGTTTTTTACACGCCTCATCCCCAGCAAAGCAGTTTGATCAGATGTTTACCTCCACAACAGCACCTACCTTTCACAAGATTCATGCATTTCACCGTGGTTGTTTACACTGAACAGATCACAATAGTGTTTAGCATGTACAGTTTTGACTTATCATTATTTCGTAACTGTGAGTAATTCTGTTGCCATCTTTCATTTTATCTGCTGCATTGATCAATCGGGCATCATGCAAGCTGAAAAACTACAGGTGAAGATGACCGGGGCCCTTTTGCCCCTCATAGATCCCATCTCACTCCGTTGTGGCCGTGCATCATGGTATTGAAAATCCGCGCTTGCTGCCACAGCATGTTTTTTATCTATCTACCTGTCTATCAATATTTCAATTTCTTCTCACTAGTATGGTTATTATCATTTGTATTTTTGTAATATCTTTTTCAGTCTTTTTTCTCAATACTCTGTGTGAAACTACGCTGTGTGCGAACCATGGAATTAGATCAATTCGAAAGCTTTTTGTCATTTCAATATTGTGCGTTTTCTCCTCCAAAATTCGCCTACCTACCCAAGTGTGAGTTAAGTGCAAATCCCTGGGGTACGTAATAGTAGTGGTCTAGTTACTATCAATCCGCCTCAAATTCCGACCGTGGTAACCACAGATTGTTACAAACTCACCAATGGAGAGATGCTTGATCCTGTCAGAGTGCCTTCAACCGATACAGTCCTGCATCTTGAGGGACAAAGCATGTCGAAAACTGTTCTCAAGCTAGCTGTTGGGATTGGTTGACTCTGTATCCACTCGTCTGAGCAGTCTTTCTCCCTTTCCAACATAGTGATTTCGGTTAACCTTGCTTCGGTACGGACTAGCCAGAATTGTCATCCTGGGGCAGAAAGATGACGGTTATCACTTCTTCTCAGCATCCAGTCAACTCAACAGTTTTGTTTCCAGATTGTTGGACTTGTTGGGTTTTGCTTCGCTGAATTACATTATTTGGTCTCCTCCACGGGGCTCGCCTGCAGGCATCTGAAGAGCTATTCTGTTTATTAGGCAAGGAGAAAATACCGGTCAAAGTGATTTGATTATTGACGGTTATCATCTCCGGTAGTTCGGAGCTGCTGGAATGTCAATCCAGTGTCACTTGGTCGTTGTGTATATTTTAACGTATGAGTTGTGTATTTGGCCAATGTATACGTATGTCCTGGCCGTGGATTGCAGTCTCAATGCCTCCGCTGCCATGGCAACTTGATAGCAAGCAGAATCCGTGAATCGTCCTTGTTTTCCAATCATTTCCACTTCCACCGATGTATGCAGCCTATTCGTTGTTTTCATCACTGATCCACTAAGGTAACCTCCTTGTATTCACCTCAACGCCTTCTACACGGCCAATCACGGGATATACCAGTGATTCACAATAGGCTTCTTCATTGTAATTTGATTGTGATTTGGTTGGAATGTTTCATCTAAACCTCCGTTTACGTTGTTGGTTGATGTGTGTGATGTGAGATGGTTCAGTGGTTAGAGCGTGAATTTCCTGACCGAAAGGTCCGTGGTTCGAACTGGACCTCTGCCTCTCGACTTCCCTTGCCCACCCCTCGTGCTTCCTTCGGCTGGCATGGCAGTTAGGCACCGTAAGGGTGCTATAGCTGAACGATGTGTGGCATCTTTGCTGGTTACCATTCTGATGTCCCTTGTTTTTAAGTGTGTTGGCCGAATAGTGTCCCTATGAATACCACGAATTTGTGGCTCGCAAGGAACAGCTGTGATAACCGTCTCGTATTCGAGTTTCTGACGATTTTCAGGCTTGTTTCAGTCGTATCGAGCTTTTCGTCACAATTGACTCCTTCATTTGAACGAATTTATTGCGTTGTATCAGTTTTGGCGCTCCGCACGTAGCAACTCCCCGTCATATCCGTTCCTCGTCGTATTTCACCAGTTAATCCTACAACCTGGGCACATTTTCTTTGTGTAAGTGCAGTTAGCCATGCAGAACGATAACTCGAGATAGCCGGATTTTGCATAAGCATGTCCCAAAATCAGTTAGGTATTGATAGGGTGCTTGTGTGTCACTATCAAATTTTATTCAACCTGAGAGCCAAGTAGAATTTACATGGTTGACTGTTCATCCTTGATACTACTCGGCACAACTATGCAGCTATAGCGGACGAGTTCCCTGGGTCATCTCCAAAAGGCAGATAGCATAGGGACACCCAGTCATCCTGCTTGCGATGCTCCCATCGCATCCGTTTAGATGGCCAGTGCTATTTCAACGCATCAACCGAGTGGTGCGCATAACTTTTGCGCGCCTACTCATGCTTCGTTCATTCTGCCTCATGTAACTTCTTTTATGTTCCGCTTACGAAAAATGTGATATCTCATAACATCAGTCTCATGATGCTTACACGGAGTCCCTACTGTATATCATTTCCTAGTGGTAGGAACGCTGCCTCATATTAATGGTAGTCGCGCAGACTTGAACAGCACGTACGAGCGATGGTGATTACACTTCGTGCTCGATCACAGCAACCTCTGTAAGCGTGCTCATAATGTACCTGTCCTATACACTCTCGCTACACGGCATTCGTCACACATTTCGGAATCACATAACTACGCAACGTAGCGCTGTTGACTCGCATTTTTAGAGTGAGGGACATCGAAGAAAGTATTCGTAGATGAGCCATACTAGCGTCTAATTTTCTTCTAAATCTCGTGAAGTCACCTCAGAGGAATCACATCGTAGCGATTCCACTGCTTGCGCCGTTAAACAGGAGGCAATCGTCATATATATTTAGGGGCAAGCAAAGCCGATCATGAGAGGGACAAACAGTCAGTCAGATGGGATAGTATTCGATGCTCACGGAGTCACGCGATACATTCAACTAGATACAGTGGCACAGAAGAGCGCTTCAAGGCGAAGTAACATACATAGTTTCGACTCATCAGGCGGAGGTCATGTACATTGAAGGATACTCATAAACCGGGCTGCGGTTGGCCAAGCTTGAGCGTTGTCCTACTAGCTTCCGAGAATCAGTATGTCAGCTGCGCTTATTTCGAGTCTAATGCAAACAAGTACGATGAACAAACTCATTTGGGAAATGTGTGAACTGAGTGTAATTTAGGCACCACGCGTTTGAATCGTTTTAGATGACGTGGCTAAAGGTTGGTCTCTCAACTGCACAGAGCTTACCACGCACTGTGAAGTTCAGGCGGCGCACCCAGCAGCAGTTTCCGATGATGCATACCAGCGGTAATTTGATAAGTGTTTTAAACCGACCCCACAAATCTAAGAAATTACGTGCAAAATATTTTCTCAGAAGGTATAGGCGAAGTTTCGACTCAAGCCAAGTATAGAATCATAGGTTTTTATAACATTTAAGTACCATTTGGGTTGAATCAGCCCTCGGAGAGGCTTCGTTGCTTAACAAACGCAGGGCTTTGGCATCACCTTAGTCTTGAAGAGGTGAAGAAGGGTATTCGACCAGCCTTCGATTGGACGCAAAATAAATACAACACTGAGGGCATACACTCTCGGTAGGAATCATTTGCTGAGTTTTCAGAAATCGCATAATGCGCACTGCATCCGTACCTGGACGAATCAAATGAATGGACCCTTTAGCATTTAGTGTGCGTAACCAATGCGCCACCAATTAAACCACTGATTCACAAATGAATATGATATCCAGCATGAGCTGCCATAGCTATTTAGCACAAGATCGACTTTTTAGCTGCCTTGCTCGCCTGCGGCGTCATTTTACGTGCAAAAAAATCGTTCAGCTGTAGCACCTTTTCGGTGCCTAACTGCCATGCCACCTGAAGGTTGCAAGAGGGCTGGGATACTACCAGGTTGCCCAAGCCTAGACAGGGGAAGTCGAGAGGCAGAGGTCGGGTTTGAACCACGGACCTTCCGGTGAGTAAATTCGCGCTCTAACAACTCGAGCCATCTCACCCCTGCAAGGTGTTATGAAAGTATTGAGTAATTGATACAGGATTCTACTTTGTAAAACCATGAAACTCTTTTGTGCTGTTCCTCTTAGTAGAAAGTATGTGATGCCATCAGGATTTACATGTACCCCCTTCATACTCAGTGTCATGATTTCGAGGAAAGCGTAAACTGTAACTGCCGAAATTCAATTATGCAACTTCCACTTGTGTTTACTCAGCGTCACCGTGAAGGAAATGCACTCCAGCACCCGGATTCTACATTTTGCTACACATGATGCTTAGACTCCCATTTGATGAAATGGGAGTCTCGGCGTTCATGCTACTCATCTTCAATAGATTGACTTCTTTCCCCTAATAATAAGTGATCGATATGTGACATTTCTAGCATTTCCCTCACCAGACCTCTTCCGGTGCCTCATTTTTATCTCATCCCGAAATCATCACTCTTTTGAAATGGATTGGCATGGCTCTATGACAGTGAATCGCTAATTTCAAGCAGTAATGCTGATGCACTGAGGAGGAGGAAGACGATGGCTCTGGTGATGTGGTTTTGGTCACGGTAACGGCTGTAATGGTGGTGGTGACTATGGCAAATGCTTGGACTGTGATTAAATAACGTTTAAAATTTATGGTCACAGTGTACCCTTCCATCAAACAAATATATGTGATTAGTAACCACAGAGTTACCCCTGAACTGGCAGGGCCCAAACTTTCAGTCAAATAGATGGTCTCACTTATCAGGAGTGGATTCTCAAAGTGTCATTGCCATCGGAATTAGGAAAGTAAAGTGATGAACAGAATCTGACGGTAGACTAAATGAGTGTGTCAGTTCAACCGAACGTCGTTGGCCGCACGCAGGAGACCACGCCATCCACCATGGGCCAACAGCCATCTGCCCATTTTGGCGTCCAAATCGTTAATGGCGTGTTCAACCAATGTCTTGATTAGTAGAACCATGCCACAGTCCAGGCAACTGATGCAGTACACAGCTGTGAATGTGATGTAAACAAGGAAACGCCCCCAGTTTGCCAACCCATCGGCCCAGATATTTTCCAAGGTGTCCATAAAGTCCAGCTGTGCCCGTTCGGGCGTTGATAGTAGCATTGCCTTTCTGTTTTCAAAACGTGGTTTGAGTTTCAGTTCCAGCTCTTCGGCTCGTTCCACCAAGCGCCGTAGAATTAGATCCAACACCACGTGCTTGTGTGTTTTGCCACGATCCTTTTCGAACAAAGTGATTCCACTGTACCCGCGCAGACATATACGATAGTAAACGTAGTCAATTATAACCCATTTCAACACTTCCTTTGTAGGAAGCAGATCAAGGGGGCAAACTGAATTGTATATATTTGAATCAGCCTCAAGCTTCTCTTCAATAAACACAGTTTGTGCGGCGGACATAGCCAATGATTTGAATATGCTTAGCTTCTAATGAGTATCGCGTGTGTGAACAAGTGTGAGACATGTAACAATATTGATCTTCATGTTTTAAACTCATGGCCTTTCCAGTGACGTCAGCTGATCCTGCCTGTCACCCACTTGATAGAAAATGAGAGTTTTGTTGAGTTGAAGCCTACTTAACTTATACCTATTTGCCTGAAGGAGTTGCTCGTAACTGGCCACTTAATCCAGACTAGTTTGTCATACATGGTTACTTTGAAGCTGAAAATATGTGCCACTTTTTAATCAAAATTTCCTGCTCGAGGCCTGACACTACGATCTGAGTAGAAAAAAGGCTACTTCCACATAGCCGTGAAAGTCAAACAATCGTCCAGTTTTAACGTCTTTTTAGCGTCTAGCTTCCATACCAACTGGGGGAAGTACGACGGCCGAGATACTACTGGACTGTTCGAGCCTAGACAGGTGCAGTTTGGATGCTGAGGTTGGGTTCGAACTACCTACCCTACGATCAGTGAGTTTTCGCGTTACCTACTGTGCTATCTCGAACCCCCACAGAGTCACAGAAAGTATTATTATACAAGGACTAGTGGGGACAATTTCTTCTGAAGCTAAATATTTAGGCCTGCTCATGCATTCCGTGATGTTTGATATGGAAAATGGTGTTTTTCTGAATGACAGCTTGCTGAGAGAAAATACCCATCAGCATTGTCTCTTCGTAAAATCAGGTGATAGTGCAATCATATACATTGTTCTTTGTGTCTGTTCGAACACTTCTGAGATATACTCCGTAACCCTGGCAGCTGTGGATACTTGCGAAGTCGATCAATCTATATTCTCGCTTTATAGCTGCACCTTCATTCGATAAATCTAAATGAATTTAATGTTCAAAGTCGTTTACCATGACCTCCTCGGCATTGATATTCTCATCATCATCATCACTAACACAGACAACAACATCAAGAATGACGCAGATGTTTCATTGCCGTATAAGCCGAAAGTTTGTCTTTAAAGACTAGCAAGCTGAGATAGAAACAATACCGTGTGTTAATTTGGTCACAGTATGGAGCTTATGGATACTGCTTGCGACCAACCTATGAGTTGTACCACTGACTGATGAGTTGATGTCTTATTAAGCATTTAGAATTTTATATCACCCCAGGTGTGAGCACGTAGAACACGGAAACCGTCATGATAAACTGTGCGGGTCTCTAATTTTCTCATGCGGTGTGTAAATGTGATAGCCCTCATAGTTTGGCGTGGCTCGATAATGGAGTACTCAATTCCTTCGGGCCCTACTCGAAGTGAACGAAAGTCTCAACGTTTCGCGAAGTCTTGACGATTGCGGTGGAAGAAATCGGGTGCCGATTTTTCTATGTGGTGTTAACACCCGCACGGTTCAGTGCCCTTCAGAATGCTATCAGTTTCCGTCTGTTATACAGGTGTGGAAAAAACTGGTTAAATACGGACGCTGAAATGCAGATTCAGTAATAAAGAAAATAGGGTTTGATAATTCAAACTACCACCATAGTAGTTGATTGGATGCAAACATGCAAACGAGCATCCAGCTACAGCTCAGTCATAGCGTATTGAAGAGTTTTCTCAAGCGCCGGCGATATTTCTAGCTAGTCTCAGCTACTACCTGTTGCATTTGCAGCAGATGACTTTGAATACATCCCGTGAGTTTGGCCGGTATGCTGTCGAATATAGACTGCCCCGCCGACGAATTCGTTGTCCGGAGCAGATGAGATGGAAAAGAGATATGTGCAACAAGGTGTTATTATGCCACTACAAGGACGATTATGAAGTTATTATGAATACCTATATACTGTGGTGGCAAGACCATCCTACGCGTTGTACAGTGGTTAACAAAGAGACAATGGGTAGCCCCAAATGGATACTCGAGCAGTTTCTGATGTCATTGACTTTGTATCACTGTAGTCAGCCTAGCAAGGAAAAATGCTGTTTTGAAGTGCTCTCCTGGGGGCTCACCAGACAGGCGCAGTCTCAGAGTTTTCGTCAACTTTATCATTTGATGGACACAAATTGAATACATTTTGTGATGCTCACTTATTTGCTCACGAATGTGGTTTTACCGGGCACTGCACCTCACAACATTCGTAAAGAAGGGCGATGCCGGTCTTGAACTATCGGAGAGTTCTCAACAACCACCTGAGTAGTGTGTTCTATCTATACGCAATCTCGAATCTCGTACCAAAAAAACGTAAAGCGGTCTTATGCAACAAGTTTAGCTGAAGGAGAACGGGATATTCAGCCGGATTCAGTTTGGTCTCCCGGTGAAAACCAGTGTTGGCAATACTCCAGCTGATGAACAAACCAACCACATAGCTTCTAAGCCACTTTGGGTCCAGCTGTTTCGTTCATCGTTCCTATTTTCAGTAGCCATTCGTTGCAGGTCAACTAAATAATTATTTGTGTTATCCTAAGCCCGGAACGCATTCTAACACTGCGGATACGAAACGGGGTATTCTCGAACTAGAGTCCATTCTTTCTGATTTTGTTTTATTTCGATGCTTAACGGATGCCACAGACTATTTGTGTAGAAATACGGGTTACAATCCACCGTGGAAAGTCGAGCTTCAAAACACTTACTATTTTAACCCTCCGAGGCTGGCTTCAAACTACTCGTATTCAAATAGCTTTTTAGCTCGATCTCCTAATACTACAAATGATCGGTTACTTGTTCCTTTCGGTACAAATGTTTACAGATTACCTCAGTCATGTACACATTCATCAACGGTGCATTACGGAATTTTAAGATAATATGTTTACCAGACATTTTCACTAAAGAGATGTTGCATTCTCATCGAGTCAGTCAACACGTGCTTTTACAAGATGGTCCTTCTGACATGGCGAAATTGGTTTTGAAGACTGACAAAGTGAGTACCGTTTGGCGTCGTCCTTTACCTGTGGAGAGGTTTCCTTACAAACGAATTTTTCTTGCCTTTGACCTCCGATGATGAGCCTATTACATATTTAGACAGTACAAGAAAAGGTATCAGCGAAATGCACTCATTTGCGAATTAATTTGGTTTTCCGTAGCGACTGAAACATGAAGCGGCCTAGTGCAGTACATTCAGTTGCCTGAAAACATCAAAAACGGTAGATTCAGCTAGGTTCCAGGTGAGTCTCTCGAAAAACCAAATTAGTTTGCAAATGAGTCTATTTCTCTCATTTCGTGCAATTTGGTTTCAAGTAGAACATACGGTTGACGGAAACTCCGGTACTGCGCCTACCTGATGAGCCCCAAGAAGGGCGAAACCAGTTGTGGGCTGTCAGCGAATTTTAAGCAACCTTAGGAGTAGTGCATTACGAAGAAAAGGTATTGTTCTTATGCAATTATTTCCTGATTATTTTGGCCCGATCGACTTTTCGCAGTCAGCATTTCATTCGTAAGGAACTCTAGAAGACCATTGCATAAGAGTGTGTAATATTCGGTCATATTAATTCAGCCCAGTGAACCTATAGGAAGGCGCATTTCGGAAGACTAAGAATAGAAACCACTCATTAGTCGCAGACGTAAAATTTCTGTAAGCGAAGTGCACAGTAATAATGATTGAAGGGATTTTTAGGATATCTTCCGTCAATGACCTTGAGGATGACGTTTCGACTGACGCTTGTCGACTACCATCGAGAATTCGGCCTTTGCGCTACAGACGTTCGAGCCCCTATACCAATCCAGCTTTCCTGTGTTTACAAGCCTGAGCTTTAGGAATGAACTGGACAGTACTAATCTGATTAAGTGCAACCGTGACGGAACCAATGAACCCTGAGTGCATCAAAATTGTGGCCTGTTTTTGGCTTGTTGCCTGCCTCTTCAGATAGCAAGTAGGATGCCTTACCACGGCGGTGGTCGTTACTACGGCACTTGGCTGTACAACGCTTGCACCCACTCTTCAACTCAAGACGACACGCCATCGTTTCTGTCCCGATATTTGTTCGAAGCAGAGTCGACAGCGTTTAGTGAATCTCTGAATATGGTAACCATCAAAGAAAACATCCTTAAAGTAACAACAGAAAAGACCTGAGCAATGCAGGCTTGGATTCTGTCACAAGTGGTTAGATTTCATGTGACTCGAAAAGTTAGGTTATTTCTTGCAGCTTACTGCTTTTTTAAACTGGACACCGTATCGAATAATGGTTCGATCTTAATGATCAGTTGGCCAGTCTTTCGTGCACAACTGTATCGGCAAACGCTTATTCAGCTGTTCCACCCTACCTGTTCGGATATAGCCTTACTGATAGACGCTTTGGTGGCCTGGACCACCAGTTTAAGTCTGTTGCCAGAAGTTAAGGAATGTAAAACTAGGTGAAAAAGCAGTTATCTGGGTTACATTAGCGCTAAACCGGACAACGATCGTGTATTCTTCATAGATATGTATCAGCTGTCCTTCTAGGGGATCGATTTTACCTACTTGTTTGCTGCTACTAAGTAGATTCCCACTTACTGCTTTGACCATGCCGGCTAGAAAACGTGGTTTGGTCTTGACGAGTCTAATGGTGTGCCCTTGTTAGGCGGATGACTGAAATCATGTAAGTTAGAGTATAACAAAGTAGATAAATTATCTACCTTTCCGACGAATCACATCGCCTGACTGTTCAAACAGCATCTCACACTTATCCTTTGCCGGTGCCTATTGGAAAATGTGACATATCCCCAACCAACCTGACGGTGACCACTTGTGAGGTGGGTGGTCGAGTGGAGTGACACTCAAGCCACCGTGAGAGAAAAGGCTGTAAGCAAAGCCACAGTCAGCCTAATTGTACTGCCGACGTAACAAAACTCATGGCATTGTGCAAAATTAGTAGCGTTTTTGCATGTCAATAGTGTATGACCCATGGATCATCATCAGTCGTCTAACTACCTTCAAACCAATGGGATTGCTGCGATTACTGCTCTTGTCATCTGATTGTTCCCACTGGTCAAAATTAACTTTTTAGGTCATGACGTTAATGCTATATCAGAGATATCGTGTAACCCG